AAAATAATATAAGTCATCAGATTAAGAGTACAAATCCAATTTGATATTAATAAATAGAATGTAGATACGCAGCTTTTGTTTGAATGTTTTATCCGTTATTAGGACAGTTTTAATTTTGATATTGATTAATAGAATTTAGATATGCTTTTATTAATGTTTTTTGTTAGAAGAAATTTTGAATTATTAGGACATAATTATTAGGACATAATTATGTATAATTTTTATCTTTAATATTGAGAATAACCTACAGTCGATGATCGAAACGTTTTTTAATGTATATTGTAAGGATGATTAAATAGCAGCAATTAAGAACTTACTATTATTTTTAGCCCTTTTTTATTATATTTATTATATTTATATTTTTTTATTATATTTATTATATTTAAATTTGATTTTATTCAATTGAACGTTGTTTTTTGAATATTATGAACATATTTGTTTCAATAAAATTACTCTTTGAATGAAATATTGCGTCCTGAACTTACAAGATTGAAATGAACTTTCTGATGAACCTAATAATAATATGTTACATATATTTATAGCTACATATATTTATTATTGTTCACTGGTGGCCAAATAATCGCCACCAAATTCAATAATTCTTGTGAATAATGTATGATAATAATAGAATCTCAATTAATTATGTACGCCAAATTAACATTAAATTAGCATCATAAATTAGTTATATGGCATAACTTAACATCGTAAATGATTGCGATGAACATGTACGAGGCTCGTAATACGAGAGACATTCAAAGGAAGACTTCTTTTCAGGGAATTACATGTACAATTTTGTTACGCATTTAAATGATACAACCAATGAAGAAAAAGCCCGAAATTGCACTTTCACTTTCACCGTATCGCGCCACGTGGAATCGTTGGAATTGCAGTACTATTCCTGACACGAAGCGCAACGGTATTCGTCGACGGTGAAACAGACGTACAGACAGACGTTGTGCAAGCAAGAACAATTTGATTCCTCGCATTAATCAGTGACTGCTTTCGCAGTCGGAGCATCGCGAAAAGAGAACGATGTTTTTCTTTTTTTGCCTTCGGCCTTTCACACGCGCTGCCAAATATCTGCTGTACGTGCTGAATTTTTTTTCCGTACATCGGGTAGAATATTAATACTTGTGGTATTCGACGCTCTGAAATTGATGGTAAATTCTTACGATATACACGAAATTATGAATTCTCTTTCTCTCATTCTGTCTGTTTCTTTATCTCTTTCTTTCTTTCGCTGAGCAGAAGCGACTGCTCGAGCAACTCGCGCCCCCACGAGACTCTCGACTCTTTAAACTGGGTGAACACTATCAGCGCCTATCAGCGACCAGTATGGCTCCAACCCTTCGGCAGAGACGACGTTGCTGAGTAGCCCTTGTATCTGTGCTCTCGTCTCAAACGGAAATGCTCGTTAACAAGTATCATCGTGCGTTGAGTGGGCGGATCTCGCTCCGACAGCTGCTAAACGGTATTTATACTGCTTCATTCCTCTTCAGATTCGTATAATTCATATAATGAGCGACGAGAAATCTATTCTGGAGCACGCCGCTCTATCGCGGATGCTGGACCGTGACAAAATCGATAAATTCATTCCGGCTCTGCTGCTTCGCCGCCCCGCGAACCTTAAATCTCTACACAGAGCAGCGATCGCAGAAAGCAAAAAAGCAGTGAATAATATTAAAATAGGAATTAATATTATAACTTTCTCACAATGTATTTTTAATGGATATTTTTAACACTGTATATTTATATATATATTTTTTTTTTTATTAAAAAATATTAATACCTTCTGTTAAATTGATTTAATTCTATTCAAAAGGTTAATTAAGTCAATCTTATTCAAAATAACAGGAAAAAAGAATGTTTATTCTCGTCATAATATTGAACGTTGTAATGCTAATTTTAAATCGACTTTGTAAAAAAACACAGCTTTGTATTAACGACAAATATTTTTGAGTCTTGATGATAAAATGGGCAATAAAATAATATGTATATTAATATGTATAAATAGTATTAATATGAATTAGTATTACGGTTGCTATAAATATTTTAGATCATTTTTTTCAGTGTGACAAAGTAAATTGAATATAAAGTGTCAACGAGATGTATACAATCCGAAGAGGAATTCGTTACAATCTCTTATAATTTTAAACAACTAATTCTTGATTTAAAAAAGTAGAAAATTTTTTGAAATAATACAAAAAACACATTATCACTCTTGTCAACTTTGTGTTACTTCACATATTTGTATTGAATTAAATTCTATCTCATGATATAAAGTGTTTCAGATATCAAACAGATCTCTCTCTGATATCTAAGATAGGAGAGCTCATCATTCAAAACATGTTATTTCAATCAAAATCACACAAAAGTTTGTCATACATATCTTATAATCAGATATCATTAAATGAGAATTTTATCTTTTAATTCTGATTTTGATATCTATAGATACAAATTGTTTTTAACAGTCTTCTTGTTACAATCTCTATTTTCTTTATTCATTTGTGCGTTTGCGGCTTTTATCCCACGTCATTGCAACAGTGATTTATGAGGGGTTCAAATAAAATCACACTAATGTATCAAGCAATCATCCTTAACTACCGTCAATAGAACTGATCATAAGAGTTGTAGAACAATTTAGCGAGTTAAGTTATTTTTCTGCTCGGGTATGGATATGTCAGTAAAATCCAAAAGCGCACAAAAATTTATATACCTGTAAATATACAGGATATCCCCAATTCGCGAATTAAAATTCACAGTAAGAAAGTTCCAAAAATTCAAATTATTTACCATTTTTCGAATAGTAGCTTTTGAGACATAAAAATTTTAAAATTCAATTAAATATTACGGTTAAACGATTGCTTGTCTCGCCTGAGTCGCTACGCGCGATAATTTAAGACTATGGCGTACAAAAAAATGTAAGGCGTTTTAATAATACTTTTAAATCTATCTTTTTTTAGAATTTTCTTGATATTTTAATTTTCTGAATTTCGGGACAGCCTGTATATTTAAATAAAATATAGAAATTTGTACGTAGAAATACTTGTTCAAATGAGTATATAATATTGTCGTGCAGGCGTTACTACATGGAAGAGATACTTAACCGGTTCGGTGTCGAGGGAACCTGAAGGGCCGGTACTTACGACCGAAATACCGGGCCCTCGATCGCGCAGCTTGTTACAAGAATTGAGCTTGATACAAGTACGTCAGATCCTCTTGATTCTTTGGGTGATATCATGACACGACATTTTGTTTAATTTAGTCGCTTGCTATCCGCGACGATATTTTGAACGCTTCGCCTACGAATTTTAATCCAATAATTCAAGCTATGTAGTTGTACTGTTGTCATATAGAATTACTATATGTAGATTTAAATGTACACATAAGATATGAGTAATAATGCCAAATCTTTTGTAAATATTTTGTAAACCAGAGACGAAATGGGTTTACAATGTTGAAATCTGTGACTTCAGCAAGCGTCTTCCGTACAATTCTTCGCAGACTATGAAAAATCCGCCGGTAATTATATAATTGACGTTGACGGGAATGTGTTGCTGGACGTTTATATGCAAATCTCATCAATGCCTCTAGGGTATAATCATCCGGCGATGCTGGAGGCTCTCGCCGATCCCGTTAATCAAGTGAGTGATATAAAACCACATCGTCACGGAGTACCGTATTTTTTTTCATGTATGGAAATTAGCGTGCTAACTTCCTCTACAAGATGTATCACTTATACTTTAAGTACACAGTATTGAGAAGAAATTCTAATAATT